GTTATGCAATCGTCAAAACATGATAGGTATTCGACACAATATGATAGGCATTCAGTGTAATATGATAGGCATTCGGCATAATATGATAGGCATTCGGCGTAATATGATAAGCATTCGCCACAACATAATATGCATTCGCCACAACATGATTGCATTTATCAAAACATGATATGCATTTATCACAACATAAAACACATTCGCCATTACATGATAGACATTCGCCACAACATGGTATGCATTTGCCACAACATGATATGCATTTATCAAAACATGATATGCATTCACCACAACATGATATGCATTTGCCACAACATGATTGCATTTATCAAAACATGATATGCATTTATCACAACATAAAACACATTCGCCATTACATGATAGACATTTGCCACAACATGATATGCATTTATCAAAACATGATATGCATTCACCACAACATGATATGCATTTGCCACAACATGATATGCATTTATCAAAACATGATATGCATTCACCACAACATGATATGCATTTGCCACAACATGATATGCATTTATCAAAACATGATATGCATTCACCACAACATGATATGCATTTGCCACAACATGATATGCATTTATCAAAACATGATATGCATTTATCACAACATGGTACACATTTGCCACAACATGATATGCATTTATCAAAACATGATATGCATTCACCACAACATGATATGCATTTGCCACAACATGATATGCATTTATCAAAGCATGATATGCATTCACCACACCATGATGTGCATTTATCACAACATGGTACACATTTGCCATTACATGATAGACATTTGCCACAACATGATATGCATTTACAACAACATGATATGCATTTGCCACAACATGATATGCATTTGCCACAACATGATATGCATTTATCAAAACATGATATGCATTTATCACAACATGGTACACATTCGCCACAACATGATATGCATTTGCCACAACATGATAGACATTCACCACAACATGATATGCATTCACCACAACATGATATGCATTTATCAAAACATGATGCACATTCACCATTACATGATAGACATTCACCATTACATGATAGACATTCGCCATTACATGATAGACATTCACCACAACATGATATGCATTCA